CCTGGCCAGTTTGGCTCAGCGGTTAGAGCGTCGGCCTGCAGTCCAGAGAGACCTGGGTTCGGTTCCCGCTGAGGGCACGTGCCTCGGTTGCAGTTTGTACCCGGCCCTGGTTGGGTAGTGCAGGTGGTGACTACTCGATGTGTCCCTTTCATGTTGATGTTTCTCTCTCTCTCTCTCTCCTACTCTATCTGAAAAAAAAATGTCATCAGGTGAGGATAAAAAAAAAAAGAACTAACCAATGAATGCATAAATAAGTGGAACAACAAATCGATTCTCTTTCTCTCTTTTTCGCTCAGATCAATAAAAGAACATTTTTTTAAAGATTATCATTTCTGGCCCAGCCCGTGTGGCTCAGCGGTTGAGTGTTGACCCATGCACCAAGAGGTCCTCGGTTCAGGGCACATGCCCAGGTTGTAAGCCCAATCACCAGTGGGGGGCATGCATGAGGCAGCCAGTCCATATTCTCTCTCATCGATGTTTCTTTCTCTCTTTCCTTCTCCCTTCCTCTCTCTCTAAAAATCAATTAAATAAAAATTTTTTTTTTTAATTATCATTTCTGCAGTTTAGTTTTACAAAGAAAAGTTACCTCAGGAACATTAGTTTTGTCCTGACTATAAAATTATTAGTAATTAAATGACCATGGAAATTATTTAAATCTCTTTTATAATTACATATACATTGGAACTACTGGGTAACACAAAGCAGAATTTGGATTATGAGCCTGTCTTGGAAATTATCAAAAAAGATTTAACTAATCTTTCAGTACAAAAAAATTTTTGAGAACAATCTTTTATAAGTTATCTCATAGTGTAGGCCCTGAAGACATTAAAGAGATGTTCCACTTTACTTTTTGTTTTTAAATAAGTGTAAGGTTAAGTTTCTCTAATGAGGAATATTTTTGTCATTGCTGTTATTATTTTATATATCTGGGTTTTCAGATTATACTTTTAAGTATTTTAATTTCATGGGTCAAAGTAAAGTTAGGCTGCACAGCCCTTGGGTATTGATTTGTTTCCCCTCATTTTAAGTAGGAAAACAGCCCTGGCCGGTTTGGCTCACCAGTTAGAGCGTCGGCCCTCGGACCAGAGAGCCCCGGGTTCGGTTCCCGATAAGGGCACTGCTTCAGTTGCAGATTGTCCCTGGCCCTGGTTGGGGTCATGTGGGTGGCAACCGCTCGATGTGTCTCTCTCACATCGGTTTCTCTCTCTCTTCCTCCCTGTCTCTCTCCCACTCTATCTGAAGATAAATGTAAAAATGTCCTCGGGTGAGTATAAAAATAAAGTAGGAAAACACCAACGTTAGTGCAATATTTGTGAGATTGAAGCGTGTAAACCAAGATTAAAAGAAGGAAGATCTGGGTAGAATTCGGTAGTTTTCTCACTGCTCATTAACATTGTTAATCACAACTTAATCTGATTTATAATCTTATCTTTCAGTTTTGATTTTAATGTTTCTTTCTTTGTTTATTTTATTTTATTTGGTACGTGCCCCTAGCGGGAACTGAACCGGGACTCTCTGGTCTGCAGGCCTAAGCTCCAACCGCTAAGCCACACCGGCCAGGGCTCTGACTTACTTTAAATTCTTACCTTTAACTCCTGCCTTCTTGGGTCTGACAGATGGCTCTGGGGTTGGGACAACTTAATAACAAACACTTCCGAAGTTTTTCTTCCTGCTGAGGAATAGTGTGTGTGCCCTCCCTGAAGTGAGCCCAGTGCTATATCAGCAGGGCTCTTTATTTGAAAATATTTTTCTATTAAGTCTTTCTAGCGTCTCCAGTCATTTTACACAGGAGAGGGACTTCTAAGGGTGGAAGTTGAATATATCATCACTTCTCGTTCCTGTTCCCTGAATTTAACTCTTCTTTCAGCCTAAATGAGAGCTGGGAAGGGAGGGCAGACAATATCATGCAACTTTGCCTTCCTACAGAGAATGCAACCGCCTAACACTGGTCTCTTGCTAGGTTCCCACTTCCTCTCTTGTTTCTCTTGAGGACTAACCGCCTTTGGCTAAATGAAACCCCACACCCCAGTCAACCCTGTGGGGAAGGAATAGGCCTTCCCCACCTGCCTTAGTCTGAGTCTCTCTCCCTCTCTTGTCTGGATCCCAAGTTAAGTATTTGTTATCCCACACGTGACCAGAATAGAGGATTATAACAGCTTCATCCCCTGGTCCTGACTTGTTCCTACTTTTTTAGCAGGTCCCCTTTCTAGACTATTCATCACAATACAAAAACATAAACCAATTCAAGTGCAGTGCAACAGTGGGGGGTGGGGGGTGGATTTCAGAGTGCAAACTAAGTACAGTCGTAACCAGGGAAAATAGATATATTTTAGTCATTGGTCAGTAAAGCAAGGCTTAAAATATTAATCCCATAAAGCGTTCCATGATACCACTTTTTCTTAAATGCAGAGACCCTTGTGCTTGGATTTGTGGGTTTTGCCCTATCATGCTTTCTTTCTGCACAATGCAACCATTCTCTTGGTTCTATGTTCTCTTGATCTTAGAGAAAGAAAACTCCTTGAATGGACCTTGGATCCATCTCTTTTGGTCTTTGCACTCTTGCAGCTTCCTTTCTAGCTGAATTGGGGCAGACTCTGTCCTCTGCCTTTGTCCTTAAATGCATTTTTTAAAGGTGATTTTTAAAATGTGTTTTTACTTATTTTTTAGGGAGGAAGGGAAAGAGAGAGAGAAACATCAGTCAGCTGCCTCCTGCATGTCCCCCACTGGGGATGGAGCCCGCACCCCTGGCATGTGGACAGCGCTCAGTCCACTGAGCCACACTGGCCAGCCCATGCTTAAGATTTTAAAGAGATGAATGGATTTTTTTTTAATCCTCGAGGATATTTTTCCATTGATTTTTTTTTTTTTTTTTTTCTTTTTTTTTAAGTAGGAGGGAGAGAGAGAAACATCATTGTGAGAGAGATACATTGATTGGTTGCCATCCACATGACCCCGACCCCGACCAAGGATCAAACCCATGACACTCTGGTCTGAATGCTGGTGCTCTAACCATTGAGAAACTGGCCAGGTCTGGATTTATTTTTCATTTTTTTTTTTTTTATCCTCAACCGAGGACATTTTTCCATTTTTTGTAAAGATAGATTGGGAGGGAGAGAGAGGAAGGGAGAGAGAGAGAAACATCGACGTGAAGGGACACATCGAGTGGCTGCCACCCGCACGACCAACCAGGGCCGGGGACAAACTGCAACCGAAGTACGTGCCCTTAGCGGGAACCGAACCCGGGTCTCTCCGGACCGCAGGCTGACGCTCTAACCGCTGAGCCAAACTGGCCAGGGCAGGATTTATTTTTTTATTTGTTTATTTTTTTCTGTTAATCCTCAAGGATATTTTTTCATTGGTTTTTAGATAGAGTGGAAGGGGGTGGGGAGAGAAACATCGATGTGAGAGAGACACATTGATTGGTTGCCTCCCACATGACCCTGACTGGGGCGGGGAATCCAACCTGCAACCTAGGTACAAGCCCTTAACCAGGAATCGAATCTGTGACCCTTTGGTCCGCAGGCTGACGCTCTAACCACTGACCTAAACCAGCCAGGGCAGGATTTCTTTTTTAACTTGAGTAAACATTGTGCAAATTTAAGGTATATAGTGTGTTATTTTGATACAGTTATATATTGTAATATGATTATCCTAGTGATATTTATCATATGTGTAATTATAGTAGAATGTTGTCTATGTCCATATTACAGCATTAAAGTACAGTATTATCTTTATTCATTACAATGTGCACTAGATCTCTGTGGCTCATATACTACTGTTGCAGGTTTGTACCCTTCCACACCAGCAGTCTTATCTCCCTACCCTCTGAGATGAATAGATTTTGAGTTTTACTTCCAAGGTCTACATATCAAAAATACTAAGACGATTGTTAGACCTTTTATCTTGTCTAGTTTCTGATTTTATTTAACTGAAAGACATATACTCTTCCTTGTCATAAGTACCTCTTGCCACTAATTTGAAAGTTTCTGATTAGATATAAGATACATTTTTAGTCTTAACATCAGTAAAAAACTAAATGTTATCTTTCTGATAACAAACCTCTATTGTTAAAATAGAGTAAGCTTTACTATATCAGGCTAGAATGTGTGCAGTAATTGATTGTAAGTTTTGCAATGCATTTCAATGCTTTGGGAGCCAGCCCCTGGAGTATAGTTATCCCAGTGGATGCACAGCAGATTGTCTGCTGGCAGCTGTCACCTGCTGATGCTTGATCACCAGGTGGGCTGCTGCAGTTTCTGAGTAGTTCTTTGAACAAGTTCCTGATGCCTTACAAATGAAGTGTTTCTAAGAAAATTTAAAAGCTTAATCAACTGAAAGTTTGCATGTTTGTAATAAAAAGATAATTTTTTTACAAATGAACAAGTCCTTGGATGGTAACACTAGAAATAAGTCCATACGTTCCCTAAGCGCCATTGTATACTTCATTCTATAGGGGAAGAAACAAGTTCAGGGAGGTTGCCCAGAGCCAGGATGAGAAACAGCCTCCTGTCACTGCCCACGTTCTTGGCTGTTTACCAGAGCTTCCCAGACTTGTCACATCCTAGAAAACCTGCTCTGTGATCTGCCAGCCTCTTAACCCTCTGCCTGCCCCTGAAACCTACAGTTTTGGAAGGTGCCACCTACTAAACTGCATTTGTTATCAACTTACTGTATTTGGAGTAATCAAAAACAAAATTGATAGAATTTGGCAAAGAAGGCCTTTTTTGGGCTAAATGGACACAGTACATAAAGCTAAATTTAGGAAACAATGAAAATGGTGTATGGATCGGCATTGATACTGATCTAATAGCTCTTCAAGCCTTAACGATCTGAGGAGCCCTGGGAGCCATGAGGATCCCAGGTTCTGAACCACTGCTCCTAAACCTGCCACCTTGCAGCTGAGAATGTGACCGCTGTTCGGATGTCTAAAACAGAAAATCCTGTGTTTCAGAGTGAGCGTGTTGAATTGATGCTTCTTTTCTTTTACTTTTTGCACATAGATTGAATATGAAAGGAAAAAGAAAGAAGATGGAAAACGTGCTCGAGCTGATAAACAATATGTATTAGACATGCTATTTTCGGCTTTTGAGAAACATCAGTATTATAATGTTAAGGACTTGGTAGATATCACAAAGCAGCCTGTGGTATGTATATGCTCACATTGATCTTTTAAATGTGTCCCATTTCATGAACAGTGTGTCAGTGCAGAGGTGTATCCTATGTGAATGAGTTCATAGGTGCCTACAGTAATGGCTGAAAAGATGTCTTAATGCAGCTTTCTTTTTTGTGTATAACATCAGCTTCATTATTTTGAATTTTAAGTGTATTTACTATTAGTAGTTTCATATGGAGAAAAAGTGGATTTATCCTCCTTTTGACTGATATAACATTACGCCTGAAATCTTTGTTTTTCATTTCTAGTGTTTCTTTTGTTCTCCTAGCTCCCTCCAAAAAAGCTCAACTCCTTTTTATAATTGGAAAATGTGTCTCAGAAGAATCAAATTCTTCTAAAAGTCATACTGGTCTGTCACAGTGAGAGAGTTTATATCTGTCTTCTTGTGGGCCATCCTCTTACGGATTTTAAAAATCAGGATCTCCCTAGCACTAGCACTAGGTCCTTTTAACTGGCAGCACTGCCTCGCGATGCGTGTTGGGACTGCAGTGAGCTTTGCCCAGTCACCATTTTTAAGGCAAAATTTAATAAATTGTTTTCGATATCTTGTTTGTTTTATAATCATTTTTTAACCCTTTTCCAGACTTTTGTGCGTATTTGCTACTAATTTGCACTTCTAATCCATTTTAAATGCTGGTGACAAGTAAAGGGATACAAATCTTTTCTCCAGCCTTTGACATTTTCTTTTGTTTCTCTTTGTTACACTTAATGTTAGCAAAGTATCAAATTGAATTATGACAGTATTTACTTACAACTTTCAAAGTTAAATGGAAAACCTTTTTATTTTCTGTCCTTTTATCTAGTTTCTTTTAGCATTTGTCCACTTTGCCAGTTTACACAAGGAATGTTAATTCTAACTGTTCTGTTTGCTTCAGAATATGTAACAAGATAACCAGTTTTAAAAAACTTTTAAACATAACCAAATCACTGCTTTTTAAAGGGGTTGGTACATTGTTTTCCAGTTTATTCAAAGCTATAGGAAATGATTTATGAAACTTCAGCATTGATTGTACAGTTTCTCACTTCTGCAGAAATTTCTCTACTGTTGTATTTCAATCTTTTACTTTTTTATTAAGAAATTAAATTCCAAAAGACCTAAATAGTTTTTTTAATAGACATCAAGAAAGTGCTCATGTTGCACTATTATCAGCTCATCTCAATGACCTCACTCTCTGCAGCATCAAAGCCTCAGAAACGGCATTCCAAGCTAGAAACAGAGATTTGAAATAGAATAATTAATTAGCTAAGTTGTGTTTCTTCTGGTTTTAATGAAGTTTATCGTTCTGTTTTATATAAATATGAACACGTCAATCCAGAAACTCTGAATTCAAACAATATATTCTAATAGAATAACACACACAAATTATATATATTTGAAAATAGACATTTAGCCCTGGTGGGTTTGGCTCAGCGGTTAGAGCGTCAGCCCACGGACCAAAGAGTCCTGGGTTCGATTCCAGTCAAGGGCATGTACCTTGGTTGTGGTTCATCCCCGACCCCAGTTGGGGTCGTGATGGTGGCAACCAATCAATGTGTCTCTCTCATGTTGATGTTTCTGTCTCTCCCTCCCTCCTGCTCTATCTGAAGATAAATGGAAAAAAATGATTGATGAGGATTAAAAAAAGAAAATAGACATTTGTAGAGGAACATTCAGAAGGTACTAACAAAAGAGTTTCTTTGCACCTGGCCAGTGTGGCTCAGTTGGTTGAGCGTTGTCCCATGCACCAAGAGTGGTCAGTGCACGTGCCTGGGTTGCAGGCTGGATCCCCAATAGGGGGAGTGCAGGGGGAAGCCAATTGATGTTTCTCATTGATGTTTCTATCTCTCCCTCTCCCTCTCCCTATAAAATTAATAAAAACATATTAGAAAAAGAAAAAAAGAGTTCTTTTGCCTTAACATGCAGTGACACATTTTTAAAGTTTATTCATCTTGCATCAAAGGAAAGGGATAACTAGTAGTGCTCTCAATTTTGGGTCTTCAGATAATTTTTATGTGCTGGTGCTCAGTGACTCTCTTATAATAGAGCTTCCTTTAGTCATGGGCTTTAGAGGATCCAGTCATTTCTTGAATATGTGCAAAAAGGTAAGATTTTTCTAGGGAGCAGATTTCATAGTTTATATCAGGTTCTCATAGAGGACCTAGAACCCTCAAAGAGCTTGTGAACTGCTGATCTAGAAACTAAAGTATTTTGTAATAGTTTTATTATTTAGACTCTGAATTGCCTCAGCAAGCATAAGGTTCTTTTTTTTAAAATATGTTTTTATTGATATTTTAGAGAGAGAAACATTGAGGTGAGAAACATCATTGGGCTGCCTCCTGCACGCCCCATGCTGGGGATCAAGCTGGCAACCCAGGCATGTGCCCTGACCGGTAATCCAACCAGAACCTTTCAGTCCATGGGAGGACGCTCAGTCCACTGAGCCACACTGTCCAGGCAAGCATACGGTTCCTTTTTTTTTTTTTTTAGAACGTGTCCCTAGCGGGAACCAAACCCGGGACTCTCTGGTCCACAGGCCGATGCTCCAACCGCTGAGCCAAACTGGCCAGGGCAAGCATATGTTTCTTGAAGGCAAGACTGTATATTCATATCCCTTAATAGTCATACACTCTACAACACAGTAGAAATTTAATAAGTATTAGATGAATTAATTTGGAAAGAGGAAAATGGTTACGTCCTCAGTATCCAGAGCCCCCATATTTTCCTCAGATCGTCTCGTTTATGTCAGGAATGGAGGGCAAAGGGCCAATTTGAAGAGTGCAGAAGGCCAAGGCAGTGGTCATCCTTGCTTGGAGGAGAAGGCAGGAAGTGGTCAGCATAGGTTCCGGCCCTGCCATTTCCCTCAGTGGGGTCTGGGGAAGTCGCTCCCAGTTCTAAAATTACAGGAGTAGATTCTCTTTGTGATTCCTCCCATCTCTAAATATGGGATTCTCTCCCTCTCCTATTTCATCGTCTTCTCTCTACCTCCCTCTCACAGTTGGACTGAGTTGGTAAAGCCCCATTGATTGACCTAGAAAGACAGTGGCCAAAGCCTAACTTATCTCCATGTAGGTAACTGTCCCCTTTCAAAGGTTCACAGGACAGCCTGGCCGGTGTGGCTCAGTGGATTGAGGGTCGTGCGGTGGCCTGAGGGGTCCAGTTTGATTCCCAGTCAGGGCACATTCCAGGGTTGTGGACTTGATGCCCATAGGGGGCATGTAGGAGGCAGCCAATCAATGTTTCTCTCTCTCATCTGTTTCTATCCCTCTCTCCCTTCTTTCTCTAAAACAAAATCAATAAGAACATATAAAAATTAAAAATAAAAGGTTCACAGGACATAAATGAGTCTGTTCTAATGGTCGTCTGCACACACTTATTAATTTGATTTTAGTCTGAGCACCAACAAGAGAATGAAGGAACCCAGTATAGCATGAAGATCAGTGATCCAGGAGGGCGGTTCCTGATGTGATGGAAAGAACACTGGATTTGGAGCTATGGAATCTGAATTTAAGTCCCAGCCCTGTCATTTAGCCAAATCATCCTGGACAAGATACTTAAATACGTTCACTGTATAATGCATTCTTTATTTAACATTTAAATTATTCCTAGTTTACAGGATCCCTATAAATAATAAATGTTTATGAAAGATGCATTGTTAACCGCAAAGTACTTTACAAATAATTATTTTTAGTATTATTATTAAACACATTTTTGAGCCCTGTGTAAAAGTAAGAAAAGAGATCTTATTCACGTTAATAATTATTTCTGTGGTATCTGCATTTAATGACATTCTCTCATTTTCAGATGCTTCCAGTGCAACTTTGATAAGTTTCTAACCATGAAGTGTATCACTTCAACACATCCTTATTCTGGCCTTTTGAATGTCATTTTTGACATATTCTGAGTGAATTTTAAGTATTTTCTTGATTTTCCAATTCCTCCCTTTCTATATTCTTCTTCCTAAAAACCTTCACTTCTGCAAACAAAATTATTAATTAGAGAGACTCTCCTCAGGGCCATTTTTTCTTTCTCATTCCCCAGGATGTGACTTGCAAAGCAATCAGAGTTAAAGGGCACATAAGCCAATTTAAAAGGCCAGTCTCTGGTAACTGATGTAAAGTCAGAAACACAGTCAGTAACCATTTAAAAAAGTGTTTTTATACAGTTTAAATTTTGGCTTTTCCCCCACTCTAAAGTAAACTAGCAGAGAAATTCTATTATTTGTCCCCTGGCAATTTTTGATCTGTCACTTAGTCTTTCTGTTTTATTACATCTTTAAAATAGAAGCATATATAAAATAGGATTTCCTTCAGAAATACACACCATTAGTCCTGAGGCCTTACCAGTGTGGCTCAGTTGGTTGAGCACCATCCCATGCACCAGGAGGTCATGATTCGAGTCCCGGTCAGGGCAAAAGCTCGGGTTTCAGGCTCAATCTCCAGTAGGGGGCATGCAGGAGACAGCCTATTGATGCCTCTCTCTCTCATCAATATTTCATCTCTCTCTTCCTCTCCCTGATATCAGTAAAACATATTTTTTAAAAATACAAATCATTAGACATCAAAATTACAGCTAATCTACAGAACAGCCATCATTCAGAACCGCCTGACTTCAAGCTGAATGGAAGTCCTACAACTATGAGATTAAAGAAGCAGCCACATCGAGACTGGTAGGAGGGACAGAGGCGTGGAAGGGCTGGTCCCACATCCACATGTGGCGGATAAAGATCAGGGGGATACCTCGGCTGTGAAGGTCCTCCCTGAGGAGTGAGGGGTCCCTATCCCACACCAGGCTCCCGGCTCAGGGTTCCAGTGCCAGGGAGAGAAGTCCCCATCACTTCTGGCTGGAAAAACCAGTGGGAACTGAGGTTGAGGGAGGTTGAGGCTACTAGAGCCCTAGGTAGCTCCTCTTAAAGGGCCCGCACACAGACTTACTCGAACTCGCTCCAGCTTGGAGGGGTGGCAGCTTGAAAGGCACCAGAGACATAGGGGAAG